TGCACAAGCACGCGCCAAGTTGCCGTCATGATCCCCAAGGGCACTACTGCATCTTCGAGTCGCTCTCTGAGGACGACGCCGCCTTCGTCATACGCGCTATCCCGGTAGCAGAAATGCATCGACACAATCCCACCTGAGCGAGGCTCTTTGAGCTTCTGTGGTACTGAACAAACCGTTTTCGAGATCACATTTCACAGTGTTGTACAACCGGTCCATATTTTGTGCATCGTAATGCTCGAGTTGATTCACTGTGCGTAGACCTACCGGACTCTGTGTGTGGCTATTACATTTTGTAATCGTTTGTGGTCAATTTTGCGAAGACTGTTGTAACCGACTTGACTTGTGGTTGGGTCTGGTGATGATCCTTTGCCCAGGTTGACCCATTCGCCCTCCCTTCGACAGCCTGGAACCCGGCCAACTCGCACAACTACTCCCAGAAGGAGATGGAGGCCAAGTTCCCCGACTTCAGCAAATGTTCCACGAGCTCTCCAAGCCCGGCGTGCACGAGCACGAGCACGGCGACGAGGATTACGATCACGAGCACGACGAGCACGACCACGACGACCACGACGAGCACGACCACGGCCCCAGCGCCGCCGCCTCCGCCGCTTCCGCGGCCGTGGCCGCCGCTTCGGCGGACGCCACTAAATCCCTGCTGACGAGACTCTGAGGCAGCACGGTCATCGACCGACGCAGGGCACTGGCGGACGGAACGAAGCCATGCTCAAAGCAAGTCACTTTGAAGTTGTTTTACAATATGACGCGATGTACATCCCATCATCGTTCCTTGTGCAATACAATTATAATTGTTTGACCACGAACTGTGTTTGACCTGCCTTTGTTTTCAACGACGCAAATCTTAGAAAATTACTTTTAATTATTCTGCCTACCTCGAACTTTCAACCGATTAGGTACTATTTAGTAAGAAAAAAGCACGGAGAAAACATATCAGTACATATCAGAGAAACTGTTGTTTGTTTGAGACTCATGAGAGGGTGTTTTTGTTTGAGAGGGTTTTGAACACTATTCGTCCAAAATAGGCGCATTTCAATTTTCTCCCTTTGACTTATAATGGAGAGGTTGCGAAATTGACCAGACCTTAGGTCACCGATATCAAAATTCCGAGATACACATTTTGTACATACTTTTACTCTTATCATCGCTGAAAGTTTAAGGCGATCGTTCAGTCGGTGTAGCTATGACGAGGATTGCAACTTTTCTGAGGTGAGGTCACTTGACGTGACCCTGTGACCTGACCTTGAGAGCCCTGGGTCTGAAATTCTTACAACGCATGTAGAAAAGATGCATGAAGAGGTGTGCTAAAAAAGCCGCGCTCCGCGCCGCCGTTTTTGAGATATCCTCTTGGTTCTTTTTGTATACTGGGGTATACATCGTCCTAAGTCGATCTATACGGAATTCACTAATGGCTAGGCTATTTCGTGGCCATGCGTTGCAGTGCCATGGTCCGCCACCTGGTGGCTGAATTTATATCCTCAAGTTGAATTTGTTGACGCCTCCAGCGCTTCAATCTTCCCGGTATCTCGGCGGTCGCAGCATAGAGGTACGTCTCCTAATTATTTTCCTGTTATTTCTTTTTAAGAGTATGACTCATCGAAAACTGTTGTTTTGCTAACATAACCATTCGTCGTTGATCATTGCTTGCAGGTTTTGTAAACAACATTGTGTGTTTGGAACTTTTCCAGAAAGAATTAAAGTTCATGTATAGGTACTAAGGTATAAATGTCCTTGGCCCGAAAAATTTTGAGACGTGCTTAAAGGAAATAGTTCACATTTTAACATGGGTTTTGAACTGGAATAGCAGTTCCGTAGCTTGGGCTGAGACGAGCATAAATCAGGAGCTTTTACAGCCCAACGATCACCCTAGGCAAAGATATTCTATTTCTCGTCCCGAAAAATGTGCCTTGCGTTGAGGATGTGTGCCTTGCATATATTCGCATCCAGTATGAAACGAGCATGGGTCCCGAAAATTCTTCAGAAACTAGAGAAATTATCTACGAGAACTCTTGAGAAATTCGCTCCAGTGAGGCGCTCCAGTAACAAAAGCACGAGCAGATCGCCCAAATGCCGGTGGCCGCGATTTCTCTAGTTTCTGAAGAATTTTCGGGACCCATGCTCTTTTCATACTGGATCGCTTGTGCCTTACAGAAACTGAAAAGTTCTTCCTATATCAAAAATATAGAAAATAATATTTTGTTATAAAAAGGATTTATTTTCTTTGCTGATCATTTTGAACATAAAAAATCACAAATCCATTGCAAAAAAATAATTTCGTGAAAGTGAACTATTTCCTTTAAGAAGTAGCACTATACTCTGTTTCGTTTCAAGTTTGCAGCCGAAGTGCCCTGCTGAAAGCAGTGCGTGATTTCTGTATATACAGCTCTTACATTTTAAGAAGCAAATTCTTAGCGGAGGAGCGATTTGCCGAAGAAATTCCAACTGCAAGCTTGATATGGAACAGACTATACAATTATTCGGAGGAATTGACCTCTGAAAAAAATAAATGTACACCCGAGTGACCAACGGGATCCTGCACGACGGAGAAATGTAAACGTCAGTATACAACGGACTGTGCCTAGGACTAGTCATGTATACTGTAGTATACATGGTTGCTGGGTTAGTTAAAGCCATTTTTGTGGCTCACAAACAACATTATGCCTTCAAATGGCTCTGTGGTTGAGCGTTAACATTCTTCGAATCGTTGGCGACCTCAATGACCGTAGATCCTCACTCAAAGTTTGATAAATCGCCCGATGAATTAGAATCCGACCCCTAAGCACAATGACATAGGCAAGCACCTCTCTAAAACACACCATACGGCGAATTTTTTTTAGAGATGTCGCTTCAGATAATGCTGCAAGGTCTTCATCTACTGTTTATCGATTCGCAACAGGTGCTACAAGTTCTATATCTTCAAAGGAAATGGCAACTAAAGACCTAAGAGCAGTGGGCAAGGGCAGAAGAAGCTGAAGTTAAGGGCGAGTGGTGTTGATAATTAAACGTGTCAATACTATTAGCCATTTTACGTCCTAAACAAACGAAAAAATACACTTTGGTGTTTGTATGGAAGTTTTCATGGATTGCATTTCAGTCATATTTATAGGCTTTGAGTATTTTTGTATATCCCAGTATACATGTCACTGCGCATGCGCGATGACCTTCACGGCTGAAATGTCACCAATCTGGTCATTATTGGCACCAAAGCTCTCAGCTAAAAAAGTTTCGTTGCTCTCCATTCATGGGCGAATTGGCGGGACTCAAGAGGATATCTGCGAAAAACCGCAAGAGGGGGGTGTTCAAACACCCCCCCCCGGCCCGGCACGGGTTACAGCACGGCTCCAGACTAAATCAGACGGGTGCGATGTGAGCCAGATGCGCGTTCTATGTCGGGGCCGCCACGGGGGCTGGTCGCACCGGCCGCACAGGGGCGCTCATGGGGTGTCTTCGAGAGGCGTTGGATTACAGGAATGGTTCAGGTTAGGGAGGGACTAGGAGGTCACCTGGGCAGGAGGCGCAGTGTCCGCATAATCTAGGGTGAGCTGTTATTGCGATAGAAATCTTGTGCAAAGAAGTGAGGCGTTGAGACAATGTAGAATGCTGCAGAACCCGTAATCGGATCGATGTCACTCAGCAATATCCTCTGCAGCGTGGAATTGGATTGCAAAAAGGTCTTCCAGGGCTGGCGGCGGATGTTTTGAAAAAGGACCGTTTGCGAATGTGCATATTCAGATTGTTAGCGCTGAAAAACTATACTGTTACAGCGTAAACAGAACTCGTACTGACTCGCGTGGTTGACGGTAGTGATGTTTTTTTTTCGTGTCAGGGAGATTGCGAGCTCTGCACTTTTCTCATCAGTTAGGTTTCACTGTTCAAGGAGTACCTTAGCGTTCTAACTCGGTGGGCTGTAACGATGACCAGGTCACGACAGGGCAGTATTAAGTGGTCCAAACATTAATACTCAGTACTCACATGTGCTTCGTAGACTGAATCATCTTTTCAAGATATGACTGTTGTGTTGAGTAAAGTGGGAATGCGCACACAGTTATGTATCGCTCCGTAATGTAGAATGCGGCAGGATGTAACGTTTCCCAATCGTTACTCTTACACACGCAGGTATTGCTTTGGTTACGGAGCGAGCGAAGCGAGCGTAGTCTTTCCTTAGATTAACGGAAATTTCTGAGTATGAGCGGCCGGCCGGCCGGCCGGCCGTGCGGACGCTTTTGCGAGGCTTATATCTCAGCAACCACTTGACCGATTTACACGCGGTAATTTTTGTAGGGTAGCTTCATTCCTTCTACCAAGTATTGGACTATTCCCGATGCATGTGGGTGACCCCTTATGCACGTGCCACGTGCAAAACGAAGAGGTGTCAGTTTGTAATTGTTGCAATATCTCGGTAACTACTTGGCCGACTGCGCTGAAAGTTGGCATGTAGGTAGGCACCCACCAGGCACTGCATATCCATGTGCCAGAGTTGGGGTGCTGCTGCACGTGCGCACGTGCAGGGGTCGTTTCCAGATCTCGAGAACGGGTGGACCGATGACGCTCAAATTTGGTACACGGTTAGGGACCAGTCAGTAGGGTGCCGTGCACAAGTCAGTTGGGACCCATTTTGCACGTGCGCACGTGCAGGGTGCCGCTTCCAGATCTCGAGAACGGCTGGGCCGATTATGCTCAAATTTGGCACATCGCTAGAGACCGGTTAGTAGGGTGCCGTGCACAAGTCAGTTGGAGGTACTCCCTCGCAATTTCGCACGTGCAAGGCCCACCCTCTCGCTCGCTCCGTTAGTCGCCCCAAAAGGCGTTATACTGGTATAGTATTCTGTATGCTGGTTTTGTATTTAATGAATACATATACATATCTATTTGTAATATGTCGACTCTGTGATGCTGTAGTTTCTTTGTAAATATCACCCCGTGTTAGGTATGAGAACACATCCGCCACAGAGAACGATCAGAAGCTTCTTAGAGAATTATTGAGGACCCTAAGAAGCCAATGTCATCACCGTTGAGGTGTCTGCGGTCTCTACATTCAAGCCACATTCACGCTAGGCTATTCCTATCTGCTGGTGGGATGGAGAGAGGCAGTTTCCGATGAAATTGATATGTTAATGGGTCGGTATATAGGGCCTTGAATGGGTCAGTGCTTTTGCGATGAACATAGGAAGTGTGTGGAGAATCTTTTATTGAACATATAAAATTAAAGCCAATCAGCTTCCGTGTAATATCTAGCCTCTACCGAAGATGGAAATTAGCTGTCCTTATATGAAAATATTTTTAGAGGAGCATAAATACAGGGTGGGGCAGAAATATTTACCTGTTTGTTTTCAGTTCATATACCTAACTCAAAAAGTTATGAACGGATTTTGATAAAATTTTGCATGCGGCTTCCCAACTGACTCGTGTATCAACATTGAAATCGTTTTTACATTTTGTTACGAGCGAGCGAGCGCAGCGAGCGAAGCGAAGTCTTTTCAATATAACGGAAAAATCTCGGTATGAGCGTCCCGGCCCGGCCTGTAACTCTTTTGAGAGGCTTATATCTAAGCAACCGCTGGACCGATTGGCCTGCGGTCTTTTTTCTGGGTAGCCCCATCCCTTCTACCCCGTAATTGACTACTTTTGACACATCTCAGTGACCGTCGTGGCACGTGAAAGGTCAAGGGTGTTCAAACTGTTTTGCAAAAGTAGTGAATTTGGGAGGCTCATATCTCAGCAGCCGCTTGGGCGATTGTCTTGCGGTAATTTGTGTAGGGTAGCTGCATCCCTTCTACCAAAGGTCGGATACTCTTGATCTATGTGAGTGACCCCCACTGCACGTGCAAAATACAAAAAGAAGAGGTGCCAAATTTGTTCCCATTTCAATAACTCGGTAATTACTGGGGCGATTTCGCTAAAACTTGGCATACAGGTAGGCACCCACCAGGCAGTGCATTCCCATGTTTGGGGTTATGGTGCTACTGCACGTGCGCACGTGCAGGGGGCGCTTCCAGATCTCGAGAACGGCTGGGCCGATTGCGCTCAAATTTGGTACACGGTTGGGGACCAGTTAGTAGGGTGCCGTGCAAAAGTCAGTTTGGACCCCGTTTGCACGTGCGCACGTGCAGAATGCCGCTTCCAGATCTCAGGAACGGCTGGGCCGATTGCGTTCAAATTTGGCACACCGCTAGCGACCGGTTAGAAGGTTGCTTGGCACAAGCCCCGTTAGAAGTACCCTCTCGCCCTTCCCTACGTGCAGGGCTCACTATCTCGCTCGCTCGCTCTTCGCCCAAAAGGCGTTTTACTGGTGATAGTTGTAACAGCTCGATGTTGCCGTAAAAACTGTTATCAGTGTAATTAAAATATGAAGAGTAGATTTCCTTTAACCCGCGCTCCGTTGGGGTCTGCCGACTGCCGAGCAACGCGCCCTGTTGGGAGGGGGGGGGGGCAATTTGGCCCCCTAAGATCTCGAGAACCACGCAACATAGCGACAAGAAGCAAACGGCGTTGGATAGCCCCAATAGGGAACTACCTTGTGACCTACCCCGCGTTCGATGTCTCGCAGACGACGAAGATTCTATGCCGTCCGGCCAATCACGTTCTATAACCGCAGCCGAGCCCTCGCTGACCTTGAACGGGATTGGCCGGACGGCGTAGAATCTTCGTCGTCCGTGAGACATCGAACGCGGGGCTAATTTCATTGACCTAGGTGATAGGTCAAACCGATGACGTCACAGGTGAGGTCAAATGTCGAATTTTCACCGTTTACAGGTATTTCAAGAAATGCGTTGTAAAATCGAGTAAACTGCATTTCATTGAAAATCATCGATGGGGTATTGTTCGTCAAACACATATTTTGCTATTTGAGGTCACTGATACCAGGTCAGGTCACAGAGGCCAGGTCACTGAGGGTCACAATATGAGAATATCATGTGACGCATGTTTCATGGTCCATTTTATATGCCAAATGTCAAATTATGTGGGTCAGGCAGCCTTTAGGGTCAGTTTAGATTATTTCTGGTGAAGGTCAGGTCAAATAAGGTCAAATTTCAAAGTTGATATTTTTGCATAAAATTGGTATCGATTCGATGCAGCTCGTCACGGGGAGTTCAATGGTGGTCTGGTCTTTGTTTTGCGCTACGTAGGTACTCTGGAATTGCCAAAAATTGAGTTCAAAAATTTGACGTCATCAATTTTGAGCAGTTTTTTCGCTATAACTTGGTCAAAAAACAGGTATCGATGAAAAAATTGCTATGTAGATAGAAGAGCGCAGGGGCTATCACATCCTATGTTCCGGTTTTTTAAATTCAAAAAGTTTTGGGATTTGTTTGCGTTTTTCGAAAAGAAAAGCTTTTTTTAATTTTTTGGGGTCAAAATACAAAAATTTTGAAAATCAGAGATAGCAGTTTTGTAGCGCCCTCTTTCGCTACTCATGACCATATAACGAACTTTGAAATTGCTTAGTAACTGTAGCTTTGTGAGCGTTTAAAGATTGCATTTTTTTACTCATTTTTGCTCAAAGATGAGCCCAGTTTGACCTCATAACTCCTGACCAAAGGTGACCTAAGATTTGAAATTTTGTGTGAAGGTGTCAAATTGACGCCTGGGAAGGTATCAAAAACTTGGTGTTGCTGCGCGCCGTTGTTTTCTTGCTATTCAGGAAAAACCACAGGGGGGTCATACTGCCCCCCTTCAAACTGGGCGAGGGTTAACCCATTCAGAAGCTCAACACGGTCTCATTTTGCCCTATGCAGCAGCCTGGAGCGCTGGCAAGGACCGGATGTTCAGCAAAGGCCGACTACAGATTGATCCATCTCTCTGACTGGGCGTCTGCTGTCACTGGCGGATCCAGGGGGGGGGGCATTAGGGGCATATGCCCCCCCCCCCGACAGGAGCCTGGGGAGGGCATTCAGTACAAGTATGCCCCCCCCCCGTTCAGACTTACACTTCTTACGCCTATAACGAGGAACTAAATAAAAATGGATTAGAAATCCTTCCTAGTAACTACTTTTGTGATCAGAGTCGTTTTAGTAGCCTCAATTTAGTTGTCATTGCTTTTTTTGTAAGTATGTTGCTTCTTAGTTCTTACCACAGGGGAGTCATGCCCATAAGTGTAACTTTAGGTATATCTCTTTGTGGGTGCTCAAGCACCCCCAATCCTGAGCTTAGCACCCCTGCCTCCCTAAAGCACCCCCTGCCTCCCTAAAGCACCCCCTGCCTCCTTAACCCTCGCCGGACCTATTGGTTTTCTACATACGCGCCGGCCGAGGGGGGGGACGGGTACGACCCCCCTCGCCGTTTCGCCCCTGGTGGAGCTAGCGCGTCGCGGAAAAAAAACGAGCGTGGGCGCCGTTACGAGATGCAGAGATTGGTACCCGATTTTAAGGTCGTAGGTCAACCGGTGACCTCTGAGGTCAGGTCAAGTGCCCCAAGGTACGGTTCAGTTTTTGGTGAATAACTTCGCAAAAAACGGCCGCAGGGCCGCGATTTTGGCAGCATCGTGTGCGCCTCGCTCAGGCGCGTCGAATGATATACTTTTTGTTCGGGTCAGGTCAACTTGGGGTGTTGACCTCAGGTCAAGGTCAGGTCAGCACCCTAAGGTCACGAAGCTGGTCGAAATAGGTCATGTCGCATATCATTCGATTCGGCAGGTCTTCTTGAGTCCATTGGTGGCTTCCCCGACTCGCTAGCTCAATTTGATCAGGAGTTATTGACGAAAAACTAATATGACCTTGATGACGTCATAAATGACGTCATGCAAGGTCAACATTGCAAAAGTGACGCATCTAACCTTGCAAGGAGTGCATCAAATCACGATTCTGTGTGCTTGGGATAGTTGTAGATCGTTCCTGGCGCCAGAATAGCAGTTTGAATTTTTCCCCATTGACTTATAATGGTGAGGTCACGAAAATGACCTGACCTCATATGACCTTTAGGAAAAATCTGAGATATACAAATTGTGAGACTCATAATGGATACTGGATCCTGCAAGTTTCATTTCCCTGTGACATCTCCTCTGGCAGTGAGGGCGTTGCGAAGTTGCGACATCTGAAGACCGTTCAGAGGTTCACTTATGACGTCATAGGTCAGTGACCTTACCTGACCCAAAAATGCGGTTGGTGTCAAAAGATCTG